AGAAGAGAAGATTCCCTGGAAAAGACCCTGATGCTGGGAAAGTGTGAAGGCAAGAGAAGTAGACGACATGATACGAGATGGGTGGACAGTGTCATCAAAGCTACCAAGATGAATTTGACCCAACTCTGGGAGGCAGTGGAAGACAGGAGGGCCTGGCGTGCTCTGGTACATGGGGTCACGAAGAGTTGGACATGACTAAACGACTAAACAACAACAAAAATGGTTTCTTGGGAGGAAAGTGATGACAAACCTAGACAGCATCTTAAAAAGCAGAGACATCACCTTGCTGACAAAGGTCAGCATAGTGAACGTTATGGTTTTTCCAGTAGCGATGTAAGGAAGTGAGAGCTGGGCCATAAAGAAGGCTGAAGAATTGATGCTTTTGAATTGTGGTGCTGGAGGAGACTCTGGAGAGTCCCCTGGACTGCAAAGAGAACAAACCTATCCATTTTGAAGGAAATCAAGCCTGAGTGCTCACTGGAAGGACAGATCCTGAAGCTGAGGCTCCAGTACTTTGGCCATCTCATAAGAAGAGAAGATTCCCTGGAAAAGACCCTGATGCTGGGAAAGTGTGAAGGCAAGAGAAGTAGACGACATGATACGAGATGGGTGGACAGTGTCATCAAAGCTACCAAGATGAATTTGACCCAACTCTGGGAGGCAGTGGAAGACAGATGGGCCTGGCATGCTCTGGTCCATGGGGTCATTAAGACACAACTTAATGACTAAACAACAACAACAGAATAATAATGATCACTTCTTTTTCTATCTATGTGGCAGTTAACCCAATTAACACCCATTGGCGTGCTCTGGTCCATGGGGTAACGAAGAGTCGGACACGACTAAACGACTAAACAACGACGAGCTAACATGAGACAGAATCTAACTGGTTACATATGTTCCACTATGTAAATTGCAAAACTCAATTCTTGTATATGCATATTTATAAATTTTGGGTTGCATTATATATTCCAACATGTCTAGGGGCAGAAACACTGGCTACATGAAGAAGGTATTTCCCCCTATTTTTCATGATACCATATGATTCCCACATTTTTCATGAACAATATTGCATTCTAAAGTTTTAAATCTGTGTTTGCCTCACAAGATCAGCAACACAAATAAGCAAAATCAGAGATTGAGTTCATGCAATAAATTGGTTTTGTTTTTCCTTTTTACTACCATTGTGTCTTTGTACGATCCAGCCTGATATAAAGTTATGATGAATGCAGAGTTTATTATTTTGTGAAATGTATTTAATTGTAATAAGTGTATTTACCCAACTATGGGTTTGAATGTTTTTCCTATGTCCAGAATGTTTTAATCTGAAGTGTCTGAGAGAAACTGATCAAAACCCAACAAGGTGGGGGCTTTATGGATAACAGGTTTTCATGTCAAAAAATGCATATGTAGCTTATTGTACAGGTATGATTTTAAACATCCTCCCTGTAGAGACACAGCTGATATTAATAGGCAGTTTATAAATAGTTGTGGGTTTTTCAGGTTCTTTGGCCGTGTTCTGAAGGTTGTTCTTCCTAACGTTTCACCAGTCTCTGTGGCCAGCATCTTCAGATGACAGGAATAGCACTCTGACAGGAGTAGTTTATAAATACATGACAACCAGTTTGGCTAGAATCCTACTGGTGTTTATACAGGTGTGCATTAACTTCATCAAATCAACTAATGAGGTTGTTTCCATACACCCCAGAACCTCATCAATTAGTTGCAGCAAGTTCTCAAAACCCCAAAAGGATGGCAGCCAATTAATTTAGCTGTTCAGGGAGAAATTTACTACCAGAGGAAGACTGCTTTTTACCCAAGCTTCCTTGCATTACAGTGGTGCCTCGCTTAACGATGTTAATTGGTTCCAAAAAACATTGCTATGGGAAAACATCGCTAAGCAAAACACCATTTCCCATAGGAATGCATTGAAAACCGGATAATCCGTTCCAATGGGAACGGATTACCGTCCTTAAGCGAAAATCGCCATAGGAAACATCACTAAGCGAAACGCGGTTCCCCCATTGGAATGCATTGAATAGGTTTCAATGCATTTCAATGGCTTTGACAGGTCCGTTTTTGCTATTTTTAAAGTGTCTTAAAATGTTCAAAAACTGTTTAAAATGTTTGGAATCGTTAGGGCACCCTGTAAAACCTTTGCAAACTTAATTTGGCTTTGTTCTGAGTATTTGTTAATTTTTGGTGAATTTCCCCCCCCCAATGGAATGCATTGAACTGTAGGTTCAATGTAAGTTTGCACTGTAAGTTTGCAAAGGTTTTACAGGGTGCACTAACGATTCCAAACATTTTAAAGTTTTTGAACATTTTAAGACACACTTAAAATAGCAAAAACCGACATCGCTAAGCGAAACAAGGGACCTAAACTGTCATCGCTAAGCGAAGCAAGGTCCCGAAAATCGCTATGTGAAATTTCCCCATTGGAAACATCGCTAAACACAAGATCACTCCAAAAACTTCATAGCTAAGCGAATACATCATTAAACAAGGCAATCGCTAAGCAAGGCACCACTGTACTTCAAATACAAAGAATTTTGCATTTTGGAGATCACACATCCTTCAATCACCAGGCGATATCCCATTTGTCTGGACTTTTGCCATGTGTTATGCAAAATTCCTCAGATGCTTTGTTAATATGTTTCTCACTACTTGTGACCCACAAACATCTTTTCTATTAAAGGTGGAGATAGAGATCGGTGAGAGCTTTATACTTTTCCAGCAAGTGCTGACTAACAATTTTTTTCTTAATTTACCAGCAGGGCTTCTTCTGATTTTTTTTTTTAATCCTATGTCTTCCAATAGTAACTAGCTACTGGGTTACTTGCGGGGAAATATGAATAAATATGGAAGAGAGACACAAGCAACCCAAAAGATACCCTTCACTGTGAAAGTAGAGAACGTCACAGAAACAAATTCCCCGAAAATTCCGTTTATTTCTTTTGAAGTCTGTCAATTGCAGAACGCATGCGCACTCTTCAGTTCAACTGGCACCAAGTTTCAACGTAAAGCAGTTCTAACACGAGCGGAACAAACCGGCCGCTGCGCAAGCGCAACCATCAGTATTGAAGAATACGTGTTGAACACGCATACCCTCCGCAGTAAAAAAATAAAAGGAGAGAGGGAGAGAGCTGTCAGACAGGACGCATGCACACTACTGACAGAAGAAGCCAACGACTTCAGTTGGCTTCCGCATGCGCACTTTGCCCACCTCATCTCCCCTCTTTTAATAAGGGAGTGTGATGTATTGTGGCGTTAGCCAATCACAATCGTCCCAACTTCTACGCCCAACCATTCAGGAAACGATTTGTAAGAGCCAGATTCCGGTAACCATCACTGATTGGCCCAAAACTTGCTTCCCAGTGTCCCGCCCACCCCCTCAAGAGAGGAGAAAGAAAAAAACGACGGCAGCGCAGAGGCCCAAAAAGCCCTGGGGAAAGAGATAGGGCCTGCTGGAAGCCGGGAGAAGGCAGACCCTCTAAGAACAAACGCCTTTAACGCTCTTAAGCACAAACCTTCCTACGAAACGAAGCCACTGCCCCCAGTTGTTTTTCACTCACCGGCCCGGGGGGAGCCGTCCTCCTCCGCTTGTGATGATCTTGGTCACAAGTGGCGTGCCGTAGATTTGCCGTAGTGCGTCACTCTCGGAACGTGGTGCGTCATGTCGTACCAGGCGGGAAGCTGGGAAAAGCGGAAACGGGCCTGCCCAGGGGGCGAGTGCCCTGTTGCTGCAACGGACTTAACGGTATGTCAGTGCCTCCTTTTGGGGCGCGAGCTGGTATTTTCTCCTAGAAGGTCCGCACTGGAGCCACGAGAGTTGTAACGGCACCCGTCCCCTCAGGCTGAGGGCGCTCTCACGCGCTTAGGGGCATTTTTGGCTAGTGTGGCCTCGCGTGAAAAGCTGGTGGGTGTAAAAAGGCGCTCCGGGAGTTGACGTGGGGCGTTCAACAGGCACATGCCCCCCCACCTTCCCTTTCAGTCCCTGAATGATCAGCCTGACCCTCTTGTTTAATAAGCGGGAAAATCATAAATCTGGGTGTAGCGTTCAGTCATTGGTATCTGAAGTTTTACCTGTAAAAATACTTGTCGTGATTAAGACTCTAAATTAGGAGATATTATTTACAGTTACTTGCAGCCTGGTATCTTTCCTGCCTAGAAAGAAATCCAGTTAAGCACAATGGGATTGATGCTCAGGAAAGCCTTCAGAAAGGGTAGCACTAATAAAAATTGGCATGACCAAATAGGTTTTTGTGTGTGCAGGACTGTGTGTGTTCCACCCAAACACAATGACCAGAGTTTAAACTAAAAACTAAAATAAAATAAAGCAGTCCGTTCCTTGCACCGTTGGGTATTTTCTGGCCCCAGAAAACTCCACTGTTCCTTCCCCCATGAAGTAAATTTCAGTTTTCCCCAGTTAGGGCCAACCTACAATTATTTTTGCATTTTCTAACTTATTATTGGGCCCCTTCCAACTCAAAAATTCAATGGAACAGAAAAACAAACAGGGAAATATGTGCGACTTATTTGTCCCAAGATGTCACATTGAGTGGGACACAAATGCACACACACACACTCAAAAATATATAGATATAAACTTTATTATGGTCAGTGACCACTGTCTGAAATACAAATACTTTAAGTACATACATGGATACATCCATCCATGAATACATAGAATATATTATTCCAAGGACCTGCATTACTTTGTTGTTATGTGCCATCAAGTTAGCTCTGACTTACAGTGACCCCATGAACGAGCAATCTCAACAGTGACCTGACCTCAGGTAAAGGTAGAGGTGAGGCTTGTAGATATAAAAGGGGGGGGGATGGAAGCCTGCCTGGTGGTTGGGAGTGGATCTGGTTGGAAGATCCCTGGACGGGGAAGGTAGAAAAACTAAAGGGTCTGAAAGGAGGAGACGGATACAAGGAGGAGAAGTGAGAGTACCCCTAAACCCTCTTATTGGGGAGAGCGAGAGACAAAAGTATGGCCGGAAGATTCCCCCTCACGAGACCAGGCCTGGACAGATGACTGGGACAAAGACACAGTCCCCTTACTGGAAGGGGAGACAGGACAATTACTGAACTCAGACTTTACACTGGACTGGCCGGGACCCTGGAACACTCAGGGGGGCAACCCCTTTAAAGTTGAAGAGTGGAAGCCCCATCTAACCAGTTGTTAGAGGGAGGAGACGGTCTGAATACCTTTGTTGACACAGGTTATTTGTTAAACAATCCAATAAACGTTACACCAATTTCTAAACCAAGGAAGTCTGTCAATTTATTTGAAGAAAAACCGGACCCTGAACCTGAACCCTCACATATAGCCTGTTCTCCCCAATAGAGGCACCAAGCATTAATGTCCACAAATTCCTAAGGCAACATCTTATGCTTATTTCTTTAACGTTGATTTCATTTCTGAGGGTAAATGAAGTAAATGTGTGAACTAGTTCATCTTATTGTGAGAATTAATGTCATTAATTCATTTACTGAGAGATTTATAGACCACCTTTTTGCATAGGTGGCTTACATAAGGTGGTTTACATGAAACGTTCAATAAAACAGCATTCTAAATAACCAAGTTTGTATAACAAAACTTTTAACAGGTCTCAAAACCTCTTTTTAAGGGGGAGTGCCCTTTCCCAATGTTTTGATGCTATGTTTTTAATACTAATTTAGTCTATCTGAACTGTCCAATGGTGTTTATGATATAATCTGGTCTATATATCACCTTAAATGCTGTCTTAAATCATTTTGTATTATACTGGATTTTTAAAAAGTAGCAACTTACAGCCATTAAACAATTCAGAACAGCCTAAATCACAATATGTAAAAATAAAACCAACATTAAGGAAAAGCATTTTCCCAAAAGTTAGTCTCTGTGACTTATTTAAAGTCCTGTATTATAGGATCACACATAGATAATTAGGAACAGAGTCCCACAAATATGAGTAACATAGGTTATAAACCACTTTGCTTTTGCATATGTGGTAATTATCAGAAGGGAGAATTTATGCAAATACTGCTTCCCATACAACTACAGGTTTATGATGAGGAAATACATGAAGGGGCCCTTTCTGGTAACTGGCATTTTGTCAGATAACTGTAACATAATTATCTTTATTTACTTAAAATAGCTGCATACTGTCTTCATCAGAAAAGGTTGTCTTGGTTCACATCTTCACCCAGGGAACTTCACAAATCAGGTGTGGAGCCAGAGTATAGGCTTCATCTGCACAAACTTTTTCTAGCAATTCCTTGGGTTATATAAGTGAGTGGTCCCTCGAGTTCATGGCTGCTGCACTCCCCATAATGATGATCCGTTCCTTATGTGTTTCCAATGGCTTGTTTACTGTTCAAAAACTGCTGGATAAATTTGCAAAGAAATGCTGAGGAGACAATCTCCACTACAAGGGATGAGGCCAACCTCTGCCCTTCCCCAAGGGAAGCTATGAGCCATGAAGCCACCTGGAGAAGTTCTCGATGGCAGCCTTCGCCTCCATATCGCCGCTGCCTCCCATCTTGTTCTGGATTGATATGTTCTAGATTAGTGATGGCAAACCTTTTTGAGCCCGAGTGCCCAAACTGCAATACAAAACAAACCACAACCATCCCAAAGAGTCCCACTCCTCTGGTCACACAACTTCCAGTGCCTGCCCAGGACACTCCCTGGGGACACTCCCTTCTCTGCCTCTAGCTGCAGTCCTTAAAGGTACAGCTGGCTGGAGCCTGGCATTTTCATGCGTGATGTCCAGGCGTGTGTGTGTATTTGTGGTGGTCGTTGCCATCTTGACTCTCCCCAAGAGTTCTTCCCAAAATCCAGGATCACAGGATTGGTAATTATTTCTTGATAGCAACTTATGGCTCTCATGCCCACAGAGAGGGCTGTGCATGCCAGCTGTGGCATGCATGCCATAGGTTCACCATCGCTGTTTTAGAAGGACACCAGGTTAATCTGGATACTTAAATCAGAAGAATTCCACTCGTGTCATTGTTCAAATTAATTTAAAAACAAATGTTAAACAGATTAAAAAACAAATGTTAAATATGCCATAATCAGTCTGAAGGACTAGCTCTGTGTGCATTTGTGGAAATACATCCCAATTTAATACTAATTTGGCAATGATCTAAACAACCACAGATCCTTTTGTGGCAAGTGAATTGAGATGGCCATGAGTGATCAGTTGCAGGCATTATTGAAAGAATGGTACTGAAACAGCATTGGTCACCCTGCAAGACAATCTCCTAAGGGAGGCAGATGGGGGCATTTAAGCCTGTTTGTTCTCTTGGATCTTTCTGCAGGTGTTGATACCATTGACAACAGTATCCTTCAGGGAAGACTAGTTTAGGGATTGCGGGTTCCCTTCTCCACTGCTTCTCGTCCTTCCTTCATGGCTGATTGCAGATGGTACAGCTTCAGGATGCTGTCCCCACCTCTTTGGACTTCTGCTGTGGGGTCCCACAAGTGTTGGCTATCTCCCCAATGCTTTCTGACATCTATATGAAGCCACTGGTAGATGTCATATTGAGATTTCCAGTTTGATTACACAAGCGCTGTCTCTCCTTTGCTTCATCTGCAAGAGATGCTGTACAGGTCCTTGAGCACTGCCTAGCTTTGATAGTGTATTGGATGAAGGCCAATAAACTGAAACTGAATCCAGATAAGATGGAGATCCTACCGTTAGGAGGGTCATCAAAGCATTTGGAGATAAACATACCTGGTCTGGATCTCCCTGAAGGATTGGGTCCACAGCTTGAGGGTACTCCTGAACCTGGCACGCTCTACGGAGACTCATACCAGCCGTGGCCATGAGTGTCTTTCATCAACTCTGTTTGATTGCCTAGCTGTAGCCCTACCTGGATAAGAAATGCCTAGTGGCACTGGTTCATGCAATGGTTATATAAAAATAGATTACTGTAATGGCCTCTGTGTAGGACTATCCTTGCAAATGGTATAGAAACTTCAGCAAGTGCAAAGTGCAGCAGCCAGATTGATTTCTGGGACTAGTAAATTCAGTCATATATCCCCAGTCCTGGCTCACCTTCATTGGCTTCCTGTTAGCCTCTGTGCTCAGTTCAAGGTGCTGGTTATGACCTATAAAGCCCTTAGGAGTTTAGTACCTCGATACTTGTTCAAATGTTTCTCTCAGAAATCGGCTGCCCATTTCACCCCGCTCTTTTCAATCTATATTTCTAAAAGTGGCCACACCGAGAGGGGCCAAAAGGCATTAACAAGGAATCCAGCCTTTTCAGTGGTGGTCCCCAGTCTTTGGAATAAACTACTGTGACACACCCAGTTCCCCTGTTTGTTTCTCTCCACAACCCAGGTTCACTTTCAGGCGTGACACTTATTTTTCAACTCTTTCCACTGCCACCAGAAGACTTCTCCTCACTCTATCAAATATAACTCTTCAATCAGTATGATTCAATTAAACAATGTTTATTAAACTGTTCCCAAATAAATCATGTAAAGTAAATCATGGATGGTCTCATTGTATTCATTCAAGAAATTGTGCTTTGGTAACATTTATATTAAATCATTTCAATCAAGGTATTTATTCATTCCTTTTCTCATTCCCTATCTCTCTATTACTCTTCACTAACACAAGGCTGGTCCTTACTGCCTAACTTCTTCTCTTTAACACCAGTCCCTAACTCATCCCTAACTCAAACTCCAAAACTAACACAGACCCTAACTCATTTCTCTAACTGCTCACTAACTGTCATCCATTCTCTTAAATACCCTTAGTTCCTCCTCTTCTGTTCACCCATTGGGTGATCTGTCAAGGTTCTATTGTGATGGACAGGAGTGGTCCCTGACCTGTCCATCACAACTACCAACTGAGATACGCCAGGCTCCATCCCTGGAAATTTGTGAAAACAATTATACAAAGCTGCCTTTAATAACATCCTCTGGAAGCTGTTAATATTTTTTTCTTATGTTTTCCTTTTGTATGAATTTTAGATTTATACTTCTGAATTGCCATATTGTTTAATATACAGTAATGTGGGATCTTGTGGAGTTAAAAATTTAATCTGTAAACCATCTAAAGTAATGCTCACATTAAAGGGGTGTGTGTGTATATCATATCAAATAAATAAATTTGGTTAAATCAGTATTTCACTTTCACCTGCAACCCACAAGGAAGAAGTTCATCTGGAAAGAGATATATGGATTATCTGGTTAGACTGGTAAAGTTATGTGCAAGTTAACTGCATGTGTGTGAACTTTTTCATTGCACTGCAAATAACTGATACAATACAATATACAATGCATGGTATAGTATGCTTTTGTACTGTTACCTTATATTGTGTATGTGCTGTGCATAAGTTCAAGTTGCTTACTTTCTTGCTATTTGATTTGATTTTCAAAGTTATACACTGACATTTAACCTATATTGGCTGAGAGTTTGTTGCTTTGTACAGTAAGTCACACTACAGCAGGCCCATGAATCAGTGGGAATTTGATGAGTCAACTCTTCCAGAAGCTCCAGTTATTCAAATGGGCCTACTCTAATTGTGTCTTAGTAAATCAGTGACAACTAAAGTAGGTCCATTTAAGCCAATGGGACTTACTGAGGAAGTGACTCATCAATGGGCCTATTTCAGTGTAATTTACAATGCTAAGAAACAGGACTGTTTGAAAAAGGTAAGATCCAGCATCTATATAACTGCAATATCAAGTATGGTGGTTACTGTTGCAGTCTTAGCATTTGCTGTGTACTCCATCAGAAAAAAATTGTGTCTATTCACATAGAATACTAAACTGCTCATTGTGTAGTAAATGAAAAATGAGACCAGATGTTCAGGACTGCATGTGTCATGCTCAGTGACATCAGATCTTCCTTGTTTAGTTTCTCAAAATTAGTTTTCAGAGTAAAGTTCTTGCTCAACTGAAGTACAAGAGAACATTACAATTCTTTTCTTTTGAAATCAAGAAAAAGTTGCTGTACAAGAATTTTGTAACTGGCTGCATAGAAAAATGCAGAAATAAGTTTTAGGAAAGAAATTGTATGCTACCAGTAGAGGGCACACAGCACACATAAATAGCTGAAATATTCATTTTGTCATTGGTGCTATATCACATTTACTGCTCAGTAGTTTTTTAAATGACTTTTGGTTTTGAGGAAATGTGTTTAGGAAAGTACTGTGTCATTCTGAAGTGGCATATGTTTTATAGAACATAGTAAGTTAATGAAGAGTGGCATAATAAATTTGTAAAATGCAGATTTTTGGCTGGAAGTGGAGTCTTCAAGGGAAGATGTAACAAATAAAAGACATGTTGGTAGTGGATTTGTTCATGCTTCAGATATGGGATAGCTGTTTTTTTTTCCTTTGTTCTTTATATTCCAGATAGATAGGTTTTTGCAAGAATATTATATCTTGAAATCAGATTTATTTATTTCTAAGTTCATCGGAATGTGCTCAAATAATAGAGTGGATGAAATTCTATTGGTATAAATGTATGCCAGCATAATTTGTATTGGGCACTTGATACATTTAATTTAGAATAAATAAAAACTCTCTGTTCACCTGTTTTAGGTTCTGAGACTCCCTAGGGCTCCCTTTTGCCTTGGGGAAGTCTTTGGGAACCTTGGGGGGCAGGGTGGAGGGAACCTTTAAAAATAATTAAAAAATCAATGTAGACCATGCTACAAGACCAATTTTCTGGATATATAGCAGATGCATGTTCAGACAATTAAGCTCAGGTGCCACATGGTTTCAACTGAAATTACTTGAAATATTGGCTGAAATCCGCTTGTGCACTAATACATGTGCAATGAAGATGACATCAACAGTAGTTGCACATTATTAGAAAGACTTCCTTTGGCCATTTGGGCAAAACGATGCTTAAATGGGGGGAAATTGCTTTACGACGATTGGTTCCCTGCTTCGGGAACCGATTCTTTGCTAAATGACTATTTTAAAACAGCTGATTGGCGGCTCTCAAAATGGCCACCCACTGTGCAAAATGGCTCCCCACTGTGTTTAGGACGGATTCCTCGCTTAACAGGCACCGGAAAATGGCTGCCTTATGGAGGATCTTCGCTGCACAATGAGGTATTTTGCCCATGGGAACGCATTCAACTGGTTTTCAATGCATTTCAATGGTTTTTTTTTTACTTTCGCTTGATGACGATTTCGTTCTACAGCGATTTTGCTGGAATGGATTATCGTCAAGCGAGGCACCACTATATAGCAGAGGTTGTCAACCCCCGGTCCGCAGCCTGGTTCAGCTCAGGCCACGGACCGTCACCGGGCCACGGACCGGGGGTTGACAACCTCTGTTGTATATGATTGCAATTTCACACTGCGAAGACAGACCTCCCACCCCCCTGCATGCACTCCCTCCCCACAGCTGCTTTGCGCACGGGTGCACATGGCAGTGCTGGCATGAGTGCTCCCCCACCCCTTTACACATTTGCCCATGTGTCCTCACAAAGGGGTGCGGGCGGGCGCTGGCATGCACGTGTGTGCACAAAGCAGCTGTGGGGGAGTGCGTGCAGGGTGGCAGGGAGGTCTGTCTTCGTGGCCCAGTTCAGCTCAGGCCACAGACGGGCACTTGGCTGTGGACAGGGGGTGACGGCTTCTCTTACCCAGCGCTTCGCGCATGTGCCCAAGCACCCGCATGTGTGTGAGAGAGAGTGCTCCTTCATGTGTGTGCACGAGCACAGGGGTGCCCTGCCTTCTTCAGCTGGTCCGTGGTCCCGAAAAGGTTAGGGACCACTGATATACAGTATCCCATTAAACTCAGTAAGACTTACTTCTCAGCAAACATTGGTAGGATTGTCCTGTAACTGGTCCATGAGAAAATACTGAACACATTGGTCAAATTTCATTTCATTTTGTATTTTTGTAAGAAATGCATCTCTTTTCCCAAAACAAGTCTTCATAAATAACACATGAATGAGCGGCAAGTTCATTTTGTTTAAATTCTATTTTGTGTGTTTATTCAACACTCTTTCAATTCAAAACATGTGGATATATTTTAGGAGATATTATTATGCTATTTTTTTTTCTATAAAGAAACAAGTTCTTGAAGTAAAGCTGCATATAGCTTGGTCCCCTCTATGAAATTGTACCTAAAATTAGAAAGACAGAGACAGTTTAAGTGGCAAATATAAGCAGTGCTACATAATGACAAAAAGAAAATAAGAAATTAATGTTGAATCCAAACAAAGTACTGTTTGGGAAAAAATGGTAAAGGAGTACTGTATATAATTGTCTTTGGACAATGCTACATCAGGTTTAATTACTCTGGTTCACTCTGCCACATCTACCCCTGTTTTTCAAATATGTGTTGGATGTTTATACTCTACCTAAAAAAACTACAGGCAATAGTTTTTCACTCCCTGCAAATTTCCAGTTTCTCTACAGCTGTTGTGCATCTAAAATTTCCAAGTGTTCTCTTTGATATTATAATACCTCTTAATATTAGCTCAAGAGGGCTACAGATTACCTGCTAAGTTTTTCATTTTGGCCATGGGGAGCATCATCTGGTCCTCCTATTCCTAGAAACATTGCACTCTTTCCAGTCACTTCCTGGAAATGGGAACCGATTGGAATCGTTCCACCTATTCGGAACATCTCAGGCTCAGTGTTAAACACTAAAAATAAAATAGGAAATTTATGAACATTAAGTCTGTAACCCACTTCTTAACCGTTATTGTATCATATATTGTCTTCTTCTTATTGGGGAGTCAAGCAGTTTGTGGAAATTTTGTCATATATTTGTTTAAATTTTCCCCTCCATCTTAGACTATAAGCTAGGAGTATGAATTCCTCTGGGTTTTTTCCTATTTTCAGATTTTAAATCTGGACCCTGCATTGGATCATAATTTCCAGGAGTCTTGCTTTGTAAAGTATTTTGTCGTAGAAACAGTTTCATTATTATGAAGGTGATGGGAGTTGCAGACGAACATCAAGAGAATTTCATTTTGCCCAACTCTTATTCAAGCCAATAGTGCTTCTACATGTATCAGGTTTATAGATAGATAAACTAAACAAATGTGTAATCTTAGCACTATATGCACACATTGATTTCTTTGTTTTATTTGTTATATCACAGTTATTGTGTCTTATTATTTCAGTGCAACCTTTTCATATGAAAAGTATTTCATGATACTTTCAACAATCCCGTTAAGACCTTGGGTCTAATTATGTTATTGGATTGCAACTGCCTGAAGCTCTTGCCAGGACAGCTAGTGAGAAAAGCTTCTGGTAACTGCAGCCCAAGAATATCTAGCAAACCACAGTTAAGAATCACTGCTATAAGGGCAGGCTGTTAGAGGAACAGAAGTAACTTGCCTTCATACAGATTGATAACTCAATAACTCAATAATAGCTGTTGGGTCTTCCATATTTAAGAAATAATTCATAGATAACATCATTAACAATATAATCTTGTCTGTCCAGGAATAAATCACATTGAGTTCAGTAGGGATTACTCCCAAATTAATGTATAAAGGAGTGCTACCTCAAACCATGCTCTTCAGTAGCAAATCAGTAATCTGCAAACTCTTATAACCTTCACTGATGTCACATTGATTTTTTGGGTGACTCCTCCATTCACATATTTGCTCACAAAAATAAGCACATATTATCACTGCCTTCTTTCACTGAGACTGGCACTGGCCAGAATCCTTTAGCTTATGTAGGCTGGTGTAAATATATCAGTGTAAATCACAGCATATTGTTTCCATTTAAAGATTTGCTGCTTTTATTTTTCATTGAACACCAAGTCATGCAACTGCACAACAAGGAATACGATTCTTTGTTGTTATTTGCCAATAAGTCACCTCCAACTCATGGTGACCCTATGAATGGCCTGTCCTCAATTGCCCTGCTCAACTTTTGTAAACTCAAGCCTGTGGCTTCCTTTAGGGACTCAGTCCATGACTTACAATAATGTCAACAAGTTCCACCTGCTTGCTATAAAATGAATTGAAAGCATCAATAGACATACATAATACCATCCGCTTACATAACCAAATTATAGACACTGTTTGTTTTATGAAATTATCTAATTTGTTCCAATAAAATAACCAAACCTTTCTTTATTGCCTTTTTCCCAGCCAAATATAGAGGTCCGTCTATATCAGAAAGCCATGGCTTTGCTTGGATTACACATTTTATGGAAATATGATTTGGACTTTTCCGTTCTGCAAATTTTTCTTTCAAATAATCAGTTACCTTAAGAAAATAACAAAGAAAGTTTACCCTCATTTGTAAGCAGCAAACATTAAAAATCACACAGTATTTTATTCAAGACTGAATTAAACATATGTCTATAAAGGTACATTAATTGGTGATCATCGGCCACTTCAGCATCTTGTTCAGCTTTCACGTAATCCTTAATACTTTTTGAACGTTGACTTTCAGAATAAAAGATTTTTTACAATATAAATGTTGTAGCTACAGAGATACTCAGTGAAATTGAAGGTAACGTCACAAATATCCTCAGTGGTCCAAACAGTTATATAAAACACTAACAAACTGGCTTTATTTTGTGTTTATCCAATAAAATATTAATCCTATATGTTTACTTAGAAGTAAGCTTCACTAAGTACAATACAGGTTGCTTGCCGATTGGTTGAATGATTGGTTACTTTGGAATATTTGTACACCTACATCATAGAAGTTATAGGACTCCTATCAGTGGTTTGGGAAGCTCACTCTTTTTTGGGAGGGTGACTCTTACCACAGAGAGTGTGGTCCACAGCTTGGGGGGGGGTCTATCTTGACCTAGCGCTTGCCATGGAGTCCCAGGTAGCATCTGTGGTTGGTACCACCCATCTACATCTTTGGCAAACTGCCCAGCTACACTCCTATCTTGATGTTGGGGTGCTCACCACTCTGGTCCATGCACTTGTAGTCTCAAGATTGCTGTAATGCGCTCTATGTGGGGCTGCCGTTGAGATTGATACAGAAACTACAAATGGTGCAGAACACGGCCACCAGACTATAAACTGGGGTGAAAAAATATAATCACATCTCCCCCACTGTTTGCTTGACCCTGAGAGAGGCCTGGAAAGAGAGAACTAGAAACCTGGCTTTCTCGGCGGTGACCCCTCGCTTCTGGAAATCTTGCCCCCTGAGAGTCGCCTGGCACCCTCACTGGGAGTTTTTAAGAACAAGCTGAAGGCTTGGTTCTTCAGGCAGGCCTTCTCCCCCTTCCATCCCTTAGTTCCCTGTGTTTTCCCATCTTGGACTTTGCTTACTTCTCTTTTTTGTTTGGATATTGTCTGCTTTAATTCTTGTTTTATATTGCTCAGACTGTAAGCCGCCCAGAGTAGATTTGTTTGAATCTAGATGGGCGGGTTAGAACCTGAATAAATAAATAATAATAAATAGAGTGCTTAAAGTAAGCAGTCATCTCATCAGTCTCCTGCACCAAGTCCAGAGCCAAATTTCAATCAGCTCAAGGAGGGAGACTGATCAGCAGTGGAGTGGTTGGAGTTAACAGAATTATGAGTCTCAAGAGTCACACTGAAATGAGCAGGAGTCCTGGAGAGGAGATTAAATCCTGTATACTGCAGCAGCATCTCCATAGTTCTCATGTTGTGCTTCCCCAGCTACTCAGAACACATGACCCTGTACACATTTATCTGGGACTAAATCCCACTAAACCATATAAGGATGAGTCCTGAGTAGACACATACATGATTGCAGTGCACTAATCCTGTACAGTACATATCTAAAAGAGCAAGCTCTATTGAGTTCTGTGGGACTTACTACCAAATCCACGTTGAGGATTGCATTGCAAAGTTTGTTAGTCCTTTTCAGCTTGCTATACCAGTGGTGGTGAACCTTTTTGGGCTCATGTACCAAAACCGGGGGCGGGCGGGGAACACGGGGTGCTGTGCTGCTGCTGTTGCAGTGGAGGAACCAGAACTGGTGATGGTGGAAGGGGAAGTGGCAGCAGAAGGGAGAATCCCGGGCACGGAGGTGCCTCAAGACCCCACTCTGGATCCGCCACCAGCACCAGCTGCTCCAGATTCTGACCCTCCGCCTGTCCGGGCACCAGCACTGCAGTTGCAGCACCTGCTCAGGTTTGGCTGTGGGGGGAGAGGGGGGGAGTAGTGATCCGGCAACTTATGGCTTGTGTGGTGGCAGAAAGGGCTCTGGGTGTCAGCTGTGGCATGCATGCCATAGGTTCGCCATCGCTGTGTTATACTAATCACATCAATTGTAGAAAACATAACTGGTTGAAAAGGGGCAATAAATAAAATTTTAATTATCTGCCACTCTACCTGATTTATCACTACTGAAGGTTCCATATTAGGAACCAGACGTATGGAAAATTTCCCAGTTACTTTTGCAGGAATTACAGTCTTCGTTCCAGAGGCAGAGAAAGCTCCTTCAATTCCATGGATGGACAGAGATGGGTAGCATGAGCGTCGCATTAATATTTCCTCCTAAATAAAAACAAGAACTTTTAATTCAACAGTCTGAAAACCTAAGCTAACATTAGCTACTCTTTGCTATTCTTTTACACTAATGTATTCCACAGTAGATAAAATGCATAGTAATGGACAGGGAACACTCTTTTCTCTCAGTTCTGCACTGAGTCAACCTATAAAAGTGTGGTTAAGGACTGACAAAATTCATTAAACTGTAATTATAACCATTAATCAGTTTCCTTATTTTTGTACATATTTGATCAATGTATTCCTGCTCAAGAAAAATGCATTGTCTAAGTTTTATAGCAAATGTTATTCATATATTTACTGTAGATTCCCCTGATGGTGAATCACTATAATTAGAAGAGTCCTAAATGAGATACAGGCTTTTGTTTTCATCTGCTCCTATCTTTTCAAAAAGAAAAACTATTGGTGGTCTTTTTCTAAGCATATTCTGGACTATTAGTTGTATACGGGAATTAAGAAAGTGATATTGAGATTAAAGGCTATATGTGGAAAGTGTGTTTTGCCTTCATTGTTCTCTGATTTTTCCACAGCTACATATAGGCCTTCTTTGTAGCCAAGATAAACAGTAACACAAGCACTTCAGAAGTCACTTTTTAAATGTTACATGAAATTGCAGGGAAAGGCCATCTAGAGTTTGGGAAGTGCATCTTGCCAAAGTGCCAGTGATTTCCAGGCCTATCTCAGCTAACACCAAGAAGGCTGGTGTACTGTAGTAAGTTATCCAAGTGCAGACAAACAAACTCAAGTAACTGATGGCCAAACCATATTTTCTCTTAGTCAGCAAATATACAAGCCTGGGATTGGGAGTATAGCTTGTTTGAAAGAACCCAGTTTGAACCTTGGACCCAGATTTGCTGCTGATAAGCAACATGAATGCTGTGATCTTTATCCAGCTTTGCCTGGTGCACCAGCTATGCCCCTTCCTGAAGGTGAGTTTGGCCACAGTGATTTACTCCTTAGTTGCCTCCTAATTAAAATGTTTAATGTATTCTATGTGAGACTGTCACTGAAAAGTGTTCAGAAGTCACCGCTAGTACAAAATGCAACAGCCAGACTGTTATCTGGTGGGAAATTTACTGTATATACGACTGGACACATGTTATATCAACACACTGGCTTCCACGTTGCTTCAAAACCAAAGTCAAAGTGCTGTGTTTTGTTTTTAACCTACAAAGCTCTAAATGTCTTGGATGGAGGCAAAATATCTGAAAGACAACCTCCCTTGCTACAAGCCTTCTCAGAGGCTGAGATCTTCAAGAGAAGCTTTGTTGCAGGTCCCACTAAGGCTAAGTTGAGTAGTACGCCGGACAGGGTTTTGGGTATAATAGCTCCTTGACTGGGACAGAACAAGCTTTCTCCATGAGTCAACAAAAGCTAAATTGTTCTTGAAGGAATTTCATCTCCTGACATGGTGGTAGGTTTTCTAAATGGTTTTAAAAGAACATTTGTGTCTCACTGTACATTGCAGTAGGAGTCCTAGTTTCTTGGGCAGAAAAGTAATAGGTAGTTCATAAATACAGCATATAATAAATCATAAATACAATAATGATTAATAATTTTTTTAGCATTTATATAAGACTTGAATGGTTAAAATTCTTCATATTTTCTCTGTGTCATTCTTTATATTGGTGTTGGGCAACCCTTTATACCACACTGACAGTTCAAAGCCCATTGTAAGCACATTTTTATGATAAATAATAACTACAGTAGCTCACTTCTGGTCAATTAAAATAATCTAATTATCATAAGATTTTAATTTGTTCTTGATTTTACCTATTTATCGTATAGATTAAATTATGCAACATTCTGATACAAAGAAAGAAAAAGAAAGAAGCATATTTTTTTCTGTTTAAATCAGACTTCACCCTGTACTCATACATTATTGACTACATATGTATGAATTGAAGAAACATATTTATCTGCTGCCAGCACTAGCATTTTGAATCCGGTCTCTTAGGTACCATGTTACCACATCAGCTGTTGTATCCACAATTTGCTACCAAAAATAAAATCCTGAAACCATGCTTTGGGGGGGGGGGCAGATCTGATTAAATAAAATTTAATCAAAATCTAGTATGACATATACTTTAGCACTGTATGTAAAGTTTCTAATTCCAAATGTTCTCTTTATCTTCGCAGCATTAAACTCTGATTCCTTATAGAATTCCACTTCTTTTTCCGAAGGAGGGACAACCGCATCATATATTCCAGGAATCAGGATATGACCAGAAGAATTAACAAGAGTGTCTAAAAACAAAGTTAAAAGTTGTGAGGAGTCTTACTCAATAGATACAGCATAAATTTGAAAATATCAAACAAATTTTATTTTTAGAAAATATGATTGAGACAAATATTTAAAAATTATTATTAACCATCCATAGATATTACTTATTGTTAATCTCTACAATAAGAAAAGAGGCAAGCCTCAAATGGAACTGAATTTTTCCCATATATTGAGTATTTCTAGTAAGTCTGAAACTACTTAATATTACTAGAAATATGCTGTAAGCTGAATCCTTTGCCTCTGAGGAAGATCTTCACTGAAATGCACTGAGCACACCATTATTTTAATACATGGGAGGGGAGATAAGAGTGGAGTATCCTGAGGCACAGCGCAGAACAAAAACACATAATGTTGCAACATTTTGTTGCAGATCAGTTATTCAACAGATTATTGCATTGTTGCTTGATATCCTAATAATACCTGTACTGTTAGTATGTGGAATGTTCATGGCCATTCTGACCGCTGTGGTTATTAATGTTATCCTGACAAGGAAAAAAGGAAACCAGAAACTCTCATGCATGATCAAAAAGTCAGAGATGGATGTGTGGGAAGGGGTGAAGTGTATTATATGACCATGGTGTGCTTTCTCCCCAACCTATGAATGCAAAGAAAGGATAGCTGATAGTAAGAATATACTATGTTGGACTGAGTCAGTATAACACACATTCATATGTCCATAATTTCATTATGTAGTCTTGGAAATTGTACTTACTCAACAAAAATATTAAGTCACCAGTTGCTTCATGAACCACACCTCCAAAACTCCCCGAATGCAAGTCTTTCCTGGCACCTTGCACCTGCCAAGAAGAAGAAGAAGACACTCGAGACGCTTAAAGCTGAGTGCACAAACACACAAGAAAGGATTCTTAATTTTCCCCTGCTATAAAGAACTGGATAAAATGGATTGTTTTTGTATCAAATGGAATATATTAACCTAAATCCAATGCATGATTTGTGCATGTCAAAATTTTCTTCCCTAGCCCTTTCATCCTGCAGCCTGGGAAGCTACCATCCTTTAAAATTATCTGTAAAAGGCTCCTCAGCATTCTGGGGTAGGTGCTGAGGTGCCTACATTGGATTCTGCTGTTCTATGAACAAATGTCCTCTGTCGGTGTTAGAGGTAGCCCATTGTGATCATGTCCTGAATGACATGTCTGTTAGCTGTCTGGCATCATAAAAGAAGTAGAAGTAGGTATAAAGAAGGAAGGGGATAGCAGGGCATCAAGACATGATTTGGAACTGGCAAATCACCCGTCACCAAACGTCCAACAAAGAGAGAAAGAAACATAACACACACAACTGTCTGGTTAATCATGTGTGAGAAGTATTTAATGTTACAAGACAGGAATTTAACAAGACAAATTTAAACTCATGCTTAAAGATAAATATTTTTAAAAATAGATTTTTTAAAAACATTGTATTGGGGGTGGAATTCTGGTTAATATCACCTGCCCTTAGCTGCCTACTTCTTTTAGTATATGGAACAAATGTGTTTAAGGATTAATATTGCATTAGGTGGGTAGGATGCTGTAGCGTTCACCCTTATTATGTTAAGTAGTCATGCATATTCATATTGCAGGCTAATGTTGCTGAGAGGCGGAGCTGAGAGATATATAAAAAGAGGCGGAGTCAGAGAGTGAGTCAGAGATGAGAAGGGAGAGGGAGATAAGAGTGTGGTATTTGGGAGATCTGAGGTGTGATTAGTCAGAAGAGTGAATAGTAACTGTAAAATCAAATAGAAGATTGTTATTGATGATTGTGAAACCTGAAGAAGATACTTATGAATGATAATCAAAACATCTGTAATCAATAAACTTGTTTTATTTAAAAGACAGTGATGTTTGGACCTTCATCTTCATCCTTCCATAAAGTATGTTGATTTAGTGATCAACTGGTGGCAGTGGGTGAAAAGTATTCACCCACAGAGTATTCATGTGCTCTGTGTTTGGGGAGTCAGGCAGGGGCCACAAGGTGCAAATGCCACAAAAGAGTTCTGGAGATGGCCATTGTTGAAGAGAGAAATATTGGTAACCACTACAGACATTTAAGCTCATGGTTGGGAAATAAAGTAGCCAGAAAAGAAGAGAAAACATGATTTTTTTCCAGTTTTTATGAAGAGGGTTTAAGAAAGGTTAAAAATGAGTAGGAAAGAGACTATTGTGATACCAAATGTATTTTTTAATTGTAGCAATTAGTCTTCACTTTTCTTGTGAAAATGCAGAATCTAATGAATAAAGCAAATATACTGACATTGAAACTATTTTTGTGTGAATCCATTTCTTCCCCAGGCACATTTCTGAAGAGTTAAGAGTTCATTCAGATATAAGCTAAGAGGAGAGTCAGCATCAAGATGATAAATAGCTCTGGGCTTTGAGTTGGCACATTCCTTCTTTCTCCAAATGTAGCAGCCAGGAACATCCAGTATTCTTCAGACTTCTAAGATGAGTGATGAATGCATTCTATAAACACCCCCACTCCAGGTTTGGATAAATATTTGTATCATATATCTATAAAATCTGTACATGACCATGCTGGTCCCCATTCCATACCTCAACAAAGAAGTAGCAATTCCCCCTTGTTCCGTATGTGATACCAGGTTTGTTGCTGAGCCATAATGTATCGGTGACCACAATGTAATCCACATTTGAAAAAAATGTACTGTTCCTCTGCTCAACTAGTGTGAATAGCCCATTGGATCCTACTTCCTCCATACCTTCAAACACAAACTTGACGTTCACTGGGAGTTCCTGTCAGAGAATGAAGTTTCAACACATTTTACTATGGTGGTGTTTTTAAACTGCAGATTAGAGAAAATGAGAAAGGCTAGTGAAGAAAAATCATATACATGTTTTTGAAGTGTTTCCACTGCATGCAGTACAGCCAGAACTTGCCCTTTGTCATCAGAAGTCCCACGTCCGTACAGATTGCCTTGAAGAGAAATGTGAAATCATAATTCCAAACCTATTAGGACAATAGGTCCTGCTTTGGCATCTGTCAAGGGTGTTTCCTCATGCATATTGAGTGCAGAAGTTGGGGTCCAGCAAAAGTCTCTAAACTCTTGACTTACTTGAGTTGGCTCTATACTTTCCTAACATTCCCTCTAGCCTGGGATGGACAAATGCCCAGCAGACTAAATCCAAACTCTTTCCCGCAAAAGGAATGGATCCCAATTGTTGCACTCAGTTGTAAAATGGAATTGGGTTCTTATAGCAGCTGATGCAGAGAACTTCCCCTTCAGGACAATCACCACCAGTTCCTAATATTCTATATTTTATCTTTTACATTGATATAAACGCATTTGATGCAACTTTGCTGGGTTACTAGATCCTAGAAACAACTGTAAATAGTAAAAACACAGAAAATTACACCCTAGGAGATAGTCTGAAGTGACAGCAAAATGGAACCTACATCTGCTTGTAATAGAAGTTCTCTAAACTACAGAAATAATTACAATAACCTATGCACATTCTAAAATAACCTATTGCCTATGTGATGGGCAATAGAAACAGAACAGGCTGGGGAGTTTCTAATGCTAATACAATAGCTTTCACAGTAATAAGCTTTCCAAACTTTTTATCTCCCCCTTCCATCTCATTCCCTTACCATTTCACAGCCTTTTTGGTCTCTCACATGCCAATTTCACAATAATTCACAAGCAATAGAGAAAATATAAGAACCTGATGGTGCAGTGGTTAATCTGCAGTACTGCAGCCAAAACTCTGCTCACAACCTGGGTTCAATCCCAGGTAGCTGGCTCAAGGTTCCCTCAGCCTTCCAGCCTTCCAAGGTCAGTAAAGTATCCAGCTTGCTGCAGGTGTGTGTGTGTGTGTGAAATCTGTAACCTGCATAATTAAATTGTAAACTGCCCAGTGAGTGCTTTAAGTGCTACAGAACAGCACACTGCTTTTGCTTTGCTTTATTCTTAAGTGCATCAGACCAGCTGTCCAGCATTTACATCCTATACAGTATCGTTATTTCCTCAGTGACCATTCAGAGATATCTTCAGGAAACCCAGACAATCATGGTGTCAATGCAGTATCCTTCTTCCACTATTGCTGCCCAATGAGTGGTATTGAGTAGGATACTACCTCTGTCATATGATAAATTTTAATAAATATAAATGCTTACCATCTTTTTCTGTCAAATTATATGGCTGTGTGGACCACCCATCCTCAAATTTGGCTGGTTGCACATCCAGATGTCCATAAAAACAAACTGTAGGTTTTTTAGGGTCCTTTTCAATTCCAGCTAGAATTACGGGTGGCAAAGGAACGTCATGTCCATATAACTAGAACATAGGTGGTGCATTAAGTCACAGACACTGATAATGGCTTATAAATGGTACAATGGTTGGGGGGGATCAAAATAAGACATTGATGACAAAATTTGAAGCTGATGCTGGCTATTATTTCAGTTTTATTTATCTAAAACAATTGTAAGCTGTAAGTTAAATAAAATCTGTTATCAGTCTGCTTCTGAGTTACAATGAGAGCTCTTCAAAGGATGATCAAGACACCCAACTGCCAGCCTCGTTCTATAGTAAAGGAATATCAGAGCTCAAGAGAATTTTCCAAACCTGCTCTCACTCCCTATCTACCCTGGAGTTCAAAGAGCGAGCCTGAACTACTAAGGGGAAAATCCTGCTTGACAGTGGAGGTCTGTTTCCTCAGGGTTTTAGGGATAACAACATCTCTTTAGAAAATTTAGTATAAACCTTACGAATGGAGATTTCCTCCTGAAACAGTGGGAAAGGCTTACCTTTTGACTGCCCAATTCTACTAACTCAACGGTTGCATTTAACTCCTTTAGCCTCTCTGCTGCTAAATGCATCATTCTTATCACCTCTTCTCTCTTTAGAGGGTCACTGGAGTCACTCTCAATGGCTACCCATTCTTTCAGTCTCTGTGGGAAAAGCAAATGGTGAGTAAAAACTGATCTTCTAGGCCCATGGTTCCCAGCCTTTTTTCACTTACATACCCCTTGGCAGCCCATTTTCATAAACTGTATCCTTCAAATGTTTGAAATTAATATGTTTGCTGCTATTTCAAATAACATATGTTGTAACTGTAAAGAAATAGCCCAATAATGGAACTAAAAAACAATGGAATAATAAGGTGAGCAGAGCATATATATTTACATTCAAAACTCAAAAGAGTAGGGTAGAGGATTCTGCCTTTTTTTTTTTCAGATAGCCACAGGCTGTCTAAAAAAACCCTGATGAACTGACAAACCGATTTATGGTTCATTGGAAATTCCTGAGGAAATTTGTGGATCATGGGTTATCAACTGTTTTGGCATTTTGTCCCCGTTTCTAGTCATGACCGCACTCAAATGTTTGCAAAATGGAGAAGAGAGAAAGCTGAACCTAAGAGGGGCATGCTACTGAACATGTGACTGTAGTTTTGGGACAGACTCCTCACAATTTGGCAAAATAACAAAGAAAGGGAACAGGGCTTTTCTTGAGGTTAAACATCAAAGAAAACTCGCTCTGCTACTCGTCATAATATTTAATAAATTTCACAATGTTTGACTTGTGTCTTCTCTTACACTGTTGACATATGTGCCTTTCCCCATTATTATTTGATTTTTTCATGTACAGTAACCCTAAATGTTCTAGTTTGTACTACTTGGAGTACACATACCCCAGGTTGGGAATCGCTGTTCTAGGTAATTCTCCTTCACTGTACATTTCCACTTTTTCTCAAGACTACTGCTAGAGCAGAGAACCAGTTGTACCTGCACATATTCCTCTTGATGTCTGTTGATGTCTTCAAATATTGTAGGGTTTGGGGATGATTCACAAGTAATTGTGAAAAGGAGAAGAAATATCAGGATAATCTGTAAAGAAAATACGTGCTTATCATGGTTATTTTCTTTGGTTCTCAGCACTATCTTCTAAATATCTGCATAGATTTTAACCTAGATTTTTTCCCACTTTGATCCACTCTGAACCCAGTATAACACAATGAGACAGCTGCATAGATTTTAACCTAGATTTTTTCCCCACTTTGATCCACTTTGAACCCAGTATAACACACAATGAGACAGGATTAGAGACAGGCACAAATTGCTGGTTTTTTTACTTAGAGATGGGCACAAATTGCTGGTTTGTTTACTGGCCAAACACATGATTGGCACTTCCCAGCCCCACCTCCTCCTGTGGGCACATATTCAGAGGCAGCACCCAAAGGAGGTGGGCAGCAAAACTGGGGGACTACCTCTGAGTGGGCATCTGCAGGAGGAAGTGGGGCTCTAAAACCGGCTGGTAAATGAACTGGCACAAACCACTTACCCTGCATTTCATGCCCATCTCTAGACAGGATCATTTCAACATATTTTATTGCCTGCAGTGAAGGATGAGATGGCACATGGCCATGTTCCACAATATTCTCTTTAGAAATCTTACAGCAATGCGGTGGACAGGCTCAAAAAGAGGCTCATTTGACAAACAGTTATGTCTTTCCAATCACTCTGTACTCTGTTGCTACCAGGTCAAACAAATGTTGCAATAAAGCCATTATTGTGCCAAGATGAGGACACATGGGAAGAACTACATATGAGCACTGCATGGCTTGGGCTGCCTGCCTTTCTGCATGTTGAAAGCAACTAAGCAACAAACAAGCATCACCCAAGGTGGTGAGACAAGGCAGGGCACTGAATGGGATTGCGGGAATGGTCAGGTGGCAACATTTGCTACCAGCAGCAATAATTTCATGAAATGGCTGCTGTACTCATTCTGGTTTAAAATATGCATAAATTATTTTTTCCCTATGAGCACCAGTAAATTATACAATAATGCAACAATTAAAGACTTTAACTCCACTGGTCTGGCCTTGTCTTTAATAGGGAAACAGAGTTATAAAGCAGGAAGCCATTGATGTGAATTTTACCTGAAATCCTGTTGGTGTAAGTAAGCTGCACAAGGCTGATGGCATCATCAGCTGTGGTGATTTTTTTAGAAATTAAAAAATCACCATCCCCTCTGAAAGTCCCGACACTTCCATATAATCTGCTTCATTGTGTAGAAGCCATTAGGAGCTACAGGATGTGGAGGGAGGGAAGTCCGCCAGATTGACTTTACCAGGGGCAGCGCTATTTTTACTCACCGTCCCGGGTAAACATTGTCTAGAGGGGCGGGATAAAAAAATCCAATAAATAAATAAATAAAAATAACTTTTTAGACATTAAAAATTCTCCCATAATCCCAATGGCTTGTCCGTGATGAAGGAGATTCCATGGGACCTCAGGTACTTCAGTGGTAGAATCAGAAAGTTTTTATTTTTTAACAAAATTACTGCAGCTAATGATATCACAAGCCTTAACTGTTACAATTTATGGAACTAGATTTCAGATTCAGTTCCTTTCAGCCTTGGCTCCACCTCATATCTGCAATAAGGGAAATAATCACACTGATCTACCTTGCAAGCCTGCCGTTAGGATGGCATCTGGATTTTTCACCTGAAGTTCTTTTGCTCCGTACCAATGTTAAGTATCATTGTGACCCCATTTTCCCTTCTAGCAATTTGTTTTGGTGGAAGGATCTAAGATGGATTCATCAAGGAGAGGAAAGCAGGGGAGGAAGTAAGATGAACAATTCAAATGGCTATCCTTTCTGAAGTCTACCTCTAAGCAACACTAAAAGACTCTATAGAGTCCAATAAATGAGTTAGACACAGGCAGGTAAAGTATTTCAATTTTCTCAGACCTGCCTCTGGTACAGCCCTCATATCCTATTGTGCGGTAGTGGAGAAGGCTGCAGTTCTCTCCTCCCCAGTCTTATCCTATTTTTGCCTTCCTCCTCCACACCATGTGGTTTTCTTTGGGCCAAGCTACACATTTTAAAAGTAGCATGTAGTTGCTCTGCTACCTTTTAATTACAGTAGTATGTGTGTGGCGTAGATTGGAACCATTGTACATGAGGACAATTAAAGCTTCCATCCATTGGCTTTCCATCTGGCATTCACTGCATACATATTTGAGAATTTGAAGAGTGGAAGAACTCTTCTCATGTGTGATAGTCTCAGTCTGGATCAGGAGCCCATGTAAAAAATAAAGAAGCAAGCAAGTATCTACACATTATGTATTTAACCTTAAATGCACTTTGCCTGATCCTCTGTTCTTGTTTTAGTCTTCCTCTCTTCTCCTAATCTCCTCTCCCCCCCTTCTCTCTGTCTTCCATCTTCTTCTGTTTCTCTCTGCTCCCAGCAGAGTTGGACCATTCTGCTATCTAAGCCCTAAGATAAGATTGTTCCCCTCCCTTGTCCTTAGTACAGAAGCTGACTACTGACATTTTTGCTGCTGTCAAGCGGAGAGTGTCCAGCATTCCACTTGAAGCAGTGGATGATTTTCAGGAAGCCAAAGCAGGTTGTGGGGCATTCCAGCTCTGTGTTGCAACAGAAGGGAATGGCGATGGAACTCAGTTGAAGTTTGCCACTGCTGTCTTTCAGGACATACTGCCGGAGTTGATAGTTATCTCATTCTCGCTTGGCCCTGGTTCCTCACAAATTCTTCAGACCCCAGCAACAAAGGTATTCTAGACATCCAAGAATGGGATTATACTGCACAAGGTTATGTTGTTATTAAATATCATTGCATACACAGGTACCTATACCATAAATTCAAGCATTTCTACATCTGTGCTTAATAGCTACAAATATTAACAGAAAAGGACAATTCTTACCATGGTGGTAGAAATATTAAGTAATATAACTTCTTCTTACTGTCTTTGCCAGTTAAATCAGGAAATAGAAACTAGGTTGTCTTCTACCTAAGATTCCAGGAAGCTTCTGCCCTACAAGCCGCTTGACCCAATTTCTCTGCCACATTCCACTGTTTATTTAACCTGTCCAAACAATTTGTTAACTTTTTAACTGCCTCTTCCCCCCACCCACCCCTCTTTAAACTAGGTGCATTTACTGGAAGGTAAAATCTTTATGGTATATCTTTCACAAGTCTTTGATTACTCACATGTATCTTGGCTAACTAAATAATAGTTCTGATTGAGCTCTTTGCTCATTCTGTGAACTAAACAGTGGCAAATCAATCAGCCGCACACTAGTGGTGCGCAAGAGCGTACTTTTAATATTTTGTGACCAGCCAAAACAGTGTTCTATAAACTATTACTCATAGGAGGAAGCAGTCCAAACAAAAAGTTATAAATTTTGAACATATTCTTGAATCAAGTCTAGAGATGGGCATGAATTGCAGTTTGGTGGTTCGGTCCTGTTCAGCTTTGTAGCCACACAGGTTTTCTATGGGTGCTGTGCACTCTTCTCTCCTGTCTCCTCTGCTTGTTTGTCCATTCCCTGGGCAAAGAGTGTTGCCCTCCCCACCTCCTCAGTGCAACTGCCCACTCACCGACCACAACATGAGCTTCTCTCCTCTACCTCCTCTGGTGGCCACCCACTTAGACGAGGAGGTGTGGCAGGGAAGCATGCACTGCAATCGGTGAGTCGCACTGAGGAGGAAAGGAAGGAAGTGTGTATTACTCAAAGAATGAGCAAGCAGACGAGGCAGGAGAGGGGAGTGCATGGTGCTCACAGAATGCCCGTGTGGGCATGATGCCAAATTAGGCTGAACTGCTAAACTGCAGTTTGTGCCAATCTCTAATTAGGACCATAGTGTGGTTGTAGGCAGTATGGGAAAGTAGCATTGCTCTGTACCCCATTTGGAGAAGTTTGGCTGAGAACATTTGAAGTTCTAATTTCTTTTTTCAGAAAACCCTTTTGCCCCCCAATCTCATTTTGTTACCACATTTTCACCACTTATATCACAGTCTAGTTATTTTAAAATGCCTACCTATGCTTGATTCCCAGTACAAGTTTTTTAAATTTGTAGTTGATCCTTCTTGAGGGACATGGTGGCACTGCAGGCTAAACCGCAGAAGCCTGTGCTTCAGGGTCAGAAGACCAAGCAGTCGTAAGATCGAATCCATGTAATGGAGTGAGCTCCCATCGCTTGTCCCAGCTCCCGCCAACCTAGCGGTTCGAAAGCATGAAATGCAATTAGATAAATAGGGACCACTTCGGTGGGAAGGTAACAGCGTTCCGTGTCTAAGTCGCACTGGCCATGTGACCACGGAAGATTGTCTTCGGACAAACGCTGGCTCTATGGCTTGGAAATGGGGATGAGCACCGCCCCCTAGAGTCGAACACAACTGGACAAAAATTGTCAAGGGGAACCTTTACCTTTACCTTCTTGTCATTTACAAGATACAAGACCTTAAAGAAGCCAGTGTTACATAAGAAAATTTAAATAAACTCTGGCTGCATATGCGTATTGAGGTATTCCATAGCAATTGCCCAAATGTCTTGTCAGTATTTTAGGAACTGGATGATTGGTGGGGTTTGCATTCCCCCAGTGTCCCCTGTGTGTGTTCCCTCAAACACAGGTCCACCTTCGGACACAATGTGCTATTTTCTCCCTTTGCACGCTGCCACCAGTGGATCTTTATCCACACTGTACCAAATATATTTCTTAGACAGGGGCTGTCAAATATAACAGGTTTATTTATTGTTTGATTGGTAAATCACAGAAGTAAAGTCACAGAAGTTCTTTTATTGTTCAGTCATTAAACTTGGATAGGATTACACGTTTGCTTGTTTGTATTCATTCACATTAACCACTGTAACAATATCTTATGACTGTCTATCTATTTCCTATTAATTTTATATCTTATTTATTCTCTAACACACACCAACTTTCCAATCTCTGTCTTAACCTTCAAAAACTTCCTCTCTAACTCCTCTCAATCTCCAACTGTTCTTCTTGACTCCACCCCTCCTGTCCTGCCATAGGCTCCTGCCCTAAAGCTCCATATGACTGACAGGCATGACTTGGGCATTCCGCCACATACCTCCCCCTTGGAAAGTTTGTTTCATGGGGTAAAATTTACATTAGTTTACCCTCATGAACAATGTGTGAGTAAACTTACCAATGATTTCCAACATCTTTTCCAATGCAATTCTCAGATATTTATTTGCAATATATACTTACTTTTTACACAGTTTAAAGCATATTAATCTTATTACTTTACAGTTAAATGACATTAATTAACATTTTTATTACTTGCAAAACAATCCAGTCACTTTTATCCTTATTTACCATTAATTCATCTATAAATTACATTTTTATTTATTTCATAATAAAAAACTTTTAATGGTATAGAAAATGTTCTAAGTGTTATATATATAAACACTTAGAACATTTTCTATACCATTAAAAGTTACATATTTCATCATTTCCATCGGTCATTCTTCCTGTCTTCTTGACAAGGCATCGGCCACCACATTTTGATTCCCCTTCACACTCCAGATCTCAAAATCAAAGTCTTGTAAGAGTAGGGCCCACCTCATTAACTTGTGTTATTCGCCCTGATAGTTCTCAACCACAGCAGTGGGGAATGGTCTGTGCACAGTACAAAATGTCCCCGCAAATATGTATGGCCTGAGCTCCTGTAACGACCATACAATCACAAGACACATTCTATCGTGGAAAGGTGTCTCTTGCCAGCCTGCAGTTTCTTACTCAGAAACATCACCAGATGAAGGTCCCCGTTGTCATCCGCCTGGCTCAGCACGGCCCCCAGTCTGGTGGTGGACGCATCTGTGAAGACGGTGAACTCTCATTGGAAATCTGGCGCTCTCAAGACACGACTAGTCATCAACACAGTCTTCAACTTCTCGAAGGCCTCCTTGCATTCTTCCGACCACAGGATCTTTTAACCTTTTCTTTTATGTGTTAAGTCAGATAAAGGGGCATCTATTTCGCTAAAATTCTGGATAAAGTGTCTATAATAGCAACTAACCCCAAGAAAGATCTGATTTTTTTTCTTTGTTGCCAATGGTTCAGATTCAGCTGGGAACAGCTCTTATGTTATCCTACTCTCCAGTCAACTGTGTTGCTATTCTGTGTTTTAACAAAAGTTTGCAAGTGGAAACAATACTTCTGCAAAGTTATTCCCCCAAACAGAATAAAACCTGTGGTGGGGGAGGAGCTACAGCAACCCAATAAAAGCATGGGAAAAACCAAGGAAACGACATTTAGAGAAATAATGAAAAATGTGTTTTTTTCCATAAAAGGTAAGTTATGACGAATGTTGGAGGTGGAAGGAAAGTACAGGAAAGATGCCTGCAAAATCTCCGGAAGAGCCAATATGCTTGGATACTTGAAAAACTTACTTTCAGCTATGTGCATTATCCCCAACTCCACACAGCCGTTGGCTGGGAGATTCTTAGAGTTGTAGTCAAAGTAAGGAAAAGTTACTTTATGCATTCCCCCCCCCAAGTAACTTTCCGAGCTTCAAGCCAGATGACCCCTTCTGACAACACAGAGCCAATCTCCTGGATACCTCAAGTGTACTATGATTGGATTGCAGCTATTTCCCAGCTCTTCTACAACTTCACAAACCTATATCTAGTAGAGATGAAGATACCTGCTTACAGACAGCTGTGATTTTGCTTGCCACATTTACGCAAACACCAGCAATCACACATCACAAAAGCAATGAGTGTTCACACATTTTCCCTCATAGAAAAATATATAGTGTCTGCTAGAGCTGGGGAAAAAAAGGGTTATGAGGAAAGGCAAGTCACTGTGCACAGAAAGAAAACAAAATGCACAAATGCTGATGGCCTACTGCTAAGCTGGTTCGTCCTTAAATAACTGAATTAACTAACACACACAGCATAATTGGAGAAAAAGAGGGCACAGCTTTATTGATCACAGCAGCAGTCATCCTGGCCAAGCATTGGGCTGGACGTACCTCATCAGGGAAACCCAAATGACCCCCAATGCCACCCGCTGTCTCCTTGAGATACATCTGGGGTGGCAGTTCCCTCGGGCAGCCACGCAAACATAAGCTACTCTTTGTCTCCCCTGCCTCCTGGGGTGGGGGCAAACCTCCCCCCCCCCCGAGCTGGGGCAGATCCAGGTTCCCCCACCCAGGTTCCCACGTGGGGATTTCTCACCCACGCGGACATGCAGGTCACCACCTGCTGTCCAACAACCAGTTGGATCCTTTCCAATGCCTGAAAATGCCTTCCAAGTTGTGACGACTGAACATATAAAACTAGCAACCCAACAAAGTAATCATATCAACCTGTGAGCATAGAAAAGTAATGCAACCAACTAGAGCAGGCGGCCAGAGGGACTGACAATCTGGTGAACAGAGGCTCCCTGCCTCAGCTCACCCTTCTTTAAACTATGCTGGTGGACCAGACTGGAAACCTTTTCCTCAGGCATGCTGGCAAGCAGCCCCACAGGGGGTGGTAACATCAGGACAGCGCAGACCCTCCCAGGCTCCTTTGCCGTTTGCCATGTGGCGACAGCCATCTCTTCCTCCCCCCTCCCCCCCGGCAGCCACCAGCAAGACCAAGCAGTCACTACGGCCTCAACACAGGACTGGGTAAGTCCATGTCTTGATTTTATTGCACCAAATGTTTTTTTCTTAATGGAATTTTAGCATCTAACGGAACTGTTCATGAGCGTTTTTATCCCCGAGATAATAATCAAACTGCAATTATGATTGCAGAGGGAGGATCCTTTTCCAGCTACACTCATTAGAAATAGCCATGAGCAAGTTCTCACATATTAATGTCCTATAATTGTTTTGTTTTTAGCTTTAGTGGTTTTCCAGTGTAATTAGCATCAGAGCAGCTGACTCTGATGAAATGCTCCAAGCAATTAATCCTTCACAGAGGATTGAACCAGGAAAGACAGATGTATTGAAAAGCTTTTTAACAGCTTTAAATTACATATTGACAAAATCATTTTCACAAAACTTGGGGGGAAATAGCTGTCACCTAAAGAGAAGAACAGCAAAGATTGCTGTCCAAAGAGATTAACTACTTAGAAAGAGGTGCATCTGCCAGAAGGAGTGAATGGGGGTCTTTGCGGAAACATTAATCAAAGTTCAGACATTTTGCTTCTGGATGGAACAAACTGTACAAAGACATTGCATGTTTTGCCTGGTTTCCTGTTCCTTGTTAGGGTTCATTGAGTGAGAGGGCATTTTCTTCAGCTTCATCCTAGCTGGGGAATTATTTCATGCTGGAGATTAATCTGGGCCCATCGCAAGTTTATTTCTATTGAGTTAGTTTGGGTTAGTTCAGTTTCTCTGGACTGCCCTTCTTTTCATCTAAGTGAGGCAGCTGTCTGGACAGACTATCCAGACTCAGGGTGGTCATGAGAAGGTCTAACCTCTAGGAGGAAAGAAATGAGAGGAAGTAGAAGAATCTCTAAATGAATAGGGCAGGGATGACAGGAGAAGATGCAGAATGCTCCAGTGGTGGACGGGGACCACCTACTAACTCAGAGTTGCTGCAATTCTGCTCAAGGATTCTGTCTAGACTGGCCTGGTCTAATGCAATACAAATCTTATGTTCAAAAAGTGCTTACTCAAGAACAATTAATAACCATCATGTAACTGATTTTCCACACACTCTTGTTTGGCAGATTTAGCACACATCTGTGAACCATGTGGAGCAGAGTGAGCAAATGTGAGAGAAAGCACAAGGCTGAAATGAGCCTGTCCCAAAAGTGGAGAGTGAGGAACAACTTTAGCCTTGTGACTCACTGCTCTCCTCAGTTGCACAAAGGCAATAAGAACATATTGTAAACAGAATACACACAGTGTTTGATAATATAGTTTTATTATTACTTGGTGGAAAGTGTCTTGAGTGCTTTGGGGACTATACAGCTAGGATAATCCCTTAGTCGTGGTTCCCCATAAATAATACTTCTGTGCCATCATGACAATTGTGGCTTATAGAGACCCCAGATTTTCTAACTTCACATGAACAGTTTATCAGTTCTTCCTCTTGGTGGCACTCTAGAACCATGCAACATACCCAAGGTCACATGGGTAACAGGGTACAGCCCCATTAGGCACACATGATCTGGATAATCTCATCTGATTCCTTCTCTTGGGAAGCACAGTGGGGATCTGGAGCGCAAAAGCCTGCCTACAGACACTCCAACCCACTGAGTTATACCAGCACTATATGGTCCCTCATACACAGTTTAAAATAAGGAATGTGTTTGTGCATAACAGCTCACTGCATTTTCAAACAGCTGTGAATTATATGTTCTTTTGTCAGGCTGATCTTGTTCTTACAAAAATGAGGATATTTGCTCAGCAAACTTCTGCCCTCTGTGCTCAGATCATCCTGTTCCTTCCTTAAATTGAACTGTGAGATCTTGGTTACTTTCTTTTCTGAAATTCCTTTTTCAACCATCAGAACGCATATGCCTAACTTAGTAATATACGAACAGGAAGAGTGACTTTAAATGTAACATGAGGTCCTTGAAAATGTTTCTTTAGGGTGAACAAACGGTTGTTATCTTCATTCTCAAAAGTAAATGTCCAATTTGAAACAAATTTCAAGTTATTATTTATAATGTATATCATTAAACAAATAGTGTTGCTTAGTTCCTTCAGGACAACATTCTAAAAAGCAAACAATCCATTGATCTCATGAACCAGGTCTATTGCACAACACTTTAGGACTCCCATTGTGAATAGTTAACAGACATAAACAGAAACAAGACCTAGCAGATTTTTTTTGCCAACCTAGCATAAGTCAGCTTGCTTGTGCTTTTGCTTTTCAAATGACACATGTGTCATTTCTTCAACAAAAAATTATCTTCTCACAATGCCACCCTCTCTGGAAATGGTTCACTACATTTTTCCCCATTAAAGTGTTTTGGACAGTCATGCAACTGTCCAAATTATTGAATTATTATTTTTGAACCTTCCCAATTTTCTTAATTTTAACCTGAAAGACAGCTTACTTCAATCAGTCACCACTGTGTGTAGTTTCTTCTGCCTCCGATATGTGGAAGTCATTTTCTACAAATTTGATCTTTGAGCCACAAAAGATCTGTAGTAGGACAATAACGTTGGTATATGCTTCCTATTATGGTGTAACTTTTAATTTTGTGCGTTTATATATCCCTTCCCCAGCATTTGCCCCTGGAGATGCTGCACTACAAATCCCATCATTCATGGCCAGCATGACCATGCTGAACAGCAATTCTGTGATTTGTAGTTCAATACTGCTAAAGGAGAACAAGTCAGAGAAGGCTAATGTGGAAACTTTCTAAAAATGTCCAGACTTCTAGGTTCAAAATGAAAACTTGTTGGAAATATTTCAGTGGGATTTTTCCCCCAGTCAAAATTCAGACAGTATATATTCCAGTAAATTTAAGATGGCATCAATAAACATAAAAGACCGATTTGCTGTTTTCCAAATAGATGTTGATGATATAATGCAGTTGAGGAAAGGTGGACAAGAATAATGTGAAGATAATACACATTAATTGACTAATTAAAAACATAATTCAATCATCATACTTTTGTAACCAGTACATAAAACTTCAAATATAAATGAGTAGTTGTGTGTTTCATATTTTCAACTAAAGTAACAAATTAAACTATCTGATTTGGTAAAATATATATATATAAGGCAATTGCAATATAAGGCCATTACTAGTTCCACTCAGCTCTGTTGCTAATTCAAGAAGTCAGTTCATATAAATAATTACCATATTTTCATCTCAGTCAGTTTAAAATGCAAATCCAAGAACTGGTTATAGCGTTAGGCAGAGGGAGGCAGGAGGGTCAGGAAGCCGAAGGGGAAAATATGAGAAGCATATACTGTAGCGCTCTGTGCCACAAAGCCTGCCCAATGAACTACCACCAGTGCTCAAGTAACTTTCAGCGGCCAGATCAGTTGACTTCTTCATGTTGAAAGTGACTGCCATCTGCTCCTTTGCCTCAGGCAGCAAAATATTTTGGGCCATGCATGCTAAATTTCTTTTCAGAGACAACAGATGCCACTTAAATGTTTGTACTCAAACAGGAGAAACATTTCTCTTATTTATCCACAAGTGCAGACAGAAACTTTTTTTTTCTACTGTCAGCAGTGGTAGAGATTAGAAAATCATTATATCCGACCACTGAATCGGGGGGAAAAAAGAGTGTTACAATGCTTAAAAGGTAACATTATAGGCAGAAGATTGGATGGAAGACAAGACATCTTTTGCTGGATTACATCTGGACACACAAACTGAGTCATGTTGGAAACCTTTGGGCACAAAATAAATTGTTATAGGCAAGCTATTTTACTGAGGAACAGCACACCTGTATCAGATTCGGAGCACATGAGGACATATTTGTGTTCCACAGTGGAATAAGAAATATAGGAATGACTTGATATACATAGATATAAGTGACAACAGATAGCACACAAGTGACAGAATAGAATTTCAAGGGAGTTATTAAAAACTGTCACAAGCCATAAGGTAAGTGTAACATCAGTACTTGATTTAGTTCATGTCACCGTCTTCAAGTTGGAAGCTTTCTGTAGTTCCTTATGGAGTTTTGAGATCTCCAGTAAAAAGGAGGCAAATACCTTTGTTCCATTAATGTAGTTGGATCTGTTCAAGAAAAAAGAAAAAAATTAATTGTCAAGCCCTGCAAAAGGGTTCAATGTTGCTTTGAAGTGCCAGATCTCTTCAGCTCTAATAGAATCTGAGGTCACAGACAACGCTGTTCACATACCTCTTTTGAAAACAAGTCCCAACATTTTGATGGAGCATGGGATCTAAGTAGCATGGTTTACCTAGCCTGGAACATTTACTTTTATGTATGTATGCATGTATGTATGTACGTACGTGCGCACGCACACATTTTGTAAAATGGACCAAGCTGCCTTGGGGATTCTGGGAGTCATGACCAAATAAGTAACTTTTCCCATCTCTCTTTCTAATACATTGCTTCTCAATGTATGGTTATAGAATGAATGTATGGTTTGTGAACCTGCTTATCTTCTCTTTTTGGGAGTGTTCCCCATCATCTGCTGCTCCAAGTGGAAACATCAACACACTTTTCTCTGTTATATCCTGAAACATTCTGGCAATTGGTATGGTTGATCCATCTCGAATCATATCTGGATCTTGGTTAAAAACTGAAACAGAAGAAGTACAAAACACATTTCTTGTTCGAAGGAGTCATAATATTATCACAGTGGTTTAAAAATAAAATAATAATTTATTGATTTGATTTTTACCCCGCCCATCTGGTCTATACGACCACTCTAGGCAGCTGTGGACATAGTAGAGAGGTCTTTATGTTCCATTGTACAGTTTCCAGCATACTGCATAACTGAGGTGGGGTTACTACAATGAACATAGGGACGTGGTGGCGCTGCGGGCTAAACTGCAGAAGCCTGTGCTGCAGAAGACCAAGCAGTCGTAAGATTGAATCCATGCGATGGAGTGAGCTCCCGTCGCTTGTCCCAGCTCCCGCCAACCTAGCAGTTCGAAAGCATGCAAATGCAAGTAGATAAATAGGGACCACTTCGGTGGGAAGGTAACAGCGTTCCATGTCTAAGTCACACTGGCCATGTGACCACGGAAGATTGCCTTTGGACAAATGCTGGCTCTATGGCTTGGAAAAGGGGAGGAGCACCACCCCCTAGAGTCGAACACGACTGCACAAAAATTGTCAAGGGGAACCTTTACCTTTACCTTTACTAGAATGAAATCAATTCAATTTATTATTCAAGTTAGGACAGATTACTCTGATTGCAGTCTCAGTGGCAGTGCAAATAACGGGGAGTGCAATATGAAGACACACAAAGCACCATCTGGATAGACAAAGTATGACCACAACTTTATCTCTTACATCTGCAGAGACTTGGCAATGCATAGGGAGAAGAGGCATGCATCTGACGACCGATGGACCAACCCACCCAATTCATGATGTGACAAGAATTAGGTACCACCTAGTAGACTCATTGTTACTACAAGGCCTGACTTGCTGTATCTGAGCAGACCAGCCCTTTCCTGACTATGAGATATGTGCATATAGAACTGGATCTGCTCCAATGTCCAACTGCACCATACACATCCTAATAAGGTTGTGACAAGACATGAACATAATGTAAAAATTAAGCAGCATTCCCAATTGTTCCTCAACCATTATAGGCCATTAAGACTCCATATGCCTTGACCTACCTATAGGGAGAATAGGTGGGAGAAGGCCAAAGAAGACTGAATGGCTGAGGCCTGATGCAGATCAGAATAAAGTGTGCACACTCTTCCAGTCCAACTCCTCCTTGTTCTAGCTCCTGGTACACCCAAATTGGTACCTGGCTGGCTGGCCACACAGTACATTAGCCAAGTCTGTGAAATGTGTCATTAGGGTCACCCAGAAACTTCCCAAAGCTCCACTGCAATGGCGGGTGCCTCTCTGTCTCCATGATCCCACCACTAGGCTGCAAACCAGGCCTAGATGAGTTGAGGGGGCTCATACCTGATATCCCCGCTCCCCTACTTCAATACAACTTGCAAAAGTTAATTTTGGACTACAGCTCTCAGAGCCCCCCAGCTGCTACAGAATTCTGTGACTTGTAGTCCGAAAGATAGATTTTTCCAAACTCTGTATGAGATAGTATGGGGTTTTGATCATGCTAGTTACTTTTGTTGTTGTTGTTTAGACGAGGAAAAGGAATCATTGTCCTTGTAAACTAATAGCACCATTTATCTCCTGCTACAGATTATGATTTTAATTATTTATATAAAGTATTTATATGCCACCTTTCTCCTAAAGGATCCAAGGTGGATTACAATATTAAAATAAACATAATTAAAACTAAATAGTAAATTATTACAAGTCATTCCATACATGCATTGTATTCAACTATGTTCTTAACACTCATTTCCTCAGCAAGGAATGAAATACATTAAGTAGTTTGAATCCAGTAACTAGCAACTAGATTAGGCCCGTTGAATTAATGGAATTTACAGAGGATTTGACTCGCCAAATCCCCACTCACTGAATGGACTTAATTCTAGTTGTGATTTATTACTTGATTATAGTAGTAAATTTCAAAAAGCACTATATATTTGCATGCAAAAAGTTAGTTCATACCTCTTTTGATTGCCTTTTTAGCAGCTTCATACTGAGGGTCATCAATATTAGCAACCCATGGCATTGCACCCATTTGCATAGACACCGTTAATTTGTTTGGACTTTTTCGTTTTGAGAACACATTTTCTAAGTATTCTTTCACCTAAAAATGAAATAAAATATTTTCAGTAGATGTAGTTGAGATATACAGTAATAATATTACTGATATGTAATAATGGTGCTCATGATGGTGCAACCACTGACACTGTTCTCTTGGATAAGGAACGTGTCATCTTTCTTCAGTGAAGAAAGGGAAAGTGATCAGTATGCTTGGGACTGAAATCTCACACTGGAGCACACCATGGACTGTGAAGATATTTCAAGAGGGAAGAAAGCTAACAAATAATAAAGAGGTGGAAGGTAGGCAATTGAGTAAGAAAGAAAGGCATAATAGTAGGAAGCCCGAGGAAAGGGGGAAACAAGGAAAATAATTACACAGGGAATTCTGACCAACCTCGTATCACTTACAGTTTGCAAGAGGAACCATATGTTACAGGGAGGGAAAAGGGGTAACTAGTACTGGATCAGGAAGGGTGAGCAAGCACCTAGAATCCCTTTCAGTCCTTCTCCTCACAGGAATGAACGGAGCCATGCCTGCTGGCCCATGACCATATCGTGTACCTCATCAGACCCACACCCCAGCATGTACCCATTTGGCACAATATTCTGAAAAGGGGACAGCTACAAGGGTACTGCTGCCACCAATCAATCAGTTTGGGCTACAACCACACACTGGAAGCCTGCCTGAGTACACACTCCTCCCAAGTTCTCTTAATAAACTGAACAGATGCTTGTCAGGGTGGAGTGGGGGAAGCCACATGGGTGGCAGGGCTGTGCTCCCTGTTCTGTGGACATCTACCCACATATGGAAGGAGAATGGCTGAAGTAAGCCTGGATGGATGAAGAAAATGGTTGTTTCCTTGTTTAGGAGTGGGCTTCAGAGGGATCCAGTGTCAATTCATCACTGCAACCTGGCAACCCTAAAGATGCAAATGACGAAAAGCAACTAGAGGACAGAAGGAGATTTCAGATTTTTATTTGACTTAATCAGGCAGTGAGCTGCCTGTTCTTTCAACTGCACCAGACAGACAGCACCTTGGTTTTAGCACTGAACAGCAACATGGGGATGTAAGATTTCTAATCTGGAAGCCTTTCCTTCTAGTGATAAACGTGAACTCGAATTTGTTATTTACTCAGGGGCAGAAAAATACTCTTGACATATGAGCAGATGCCCTCCTTACATGATATATTACAGTGTAAGAACCCTGGTATTGCACCAACATCTAGAGTTAAACCATCTGGAAACAGGTTGAATCACAATAATGCCACATACAAGCAATATTACCTGATGTTCCACTTTAGAAAGATCCATATGAGGGACTTGCCGGATTGAAAATTTTCCTGTGACTCTTGATGGTATAACTGTTTTGATCCCTGGTTCATAAAAAGCTCCTTCTATCCCATGAATAGATAGTGAAGGCAAACGCCACAAATGTGAGAATATTTCCTCCTTAGATATATAATAAGAAAACAAAAAATACACAGGCTTTAGGTGTTAAGGGCTTATTCTTTTCAATGTCTACATGAAACTGCTGGGAGAAATTTTCCATTGTTTAGGACTTGAGTGCCATCAGTATACTGATGATAACCAACTTTATATCTCTCTTTCTCATCTGATTCCAAAGAAGCTGTTCTGGGCCTCCATCAATTTCTGTTGTCATTTATGGACTGGATGAAGGCTAACAAACTGAAACTTAATCCAGACAAGACAGAGCTGCTCTTGATGAGTCATAAGGCAAATCAGGAGATAGGAATATGGCCTGTACTGGATGGGGTTATATTCCCCCTGAAAAGTCAGGTGTGCAACTTCGATGTGCGCCAGAGCTTGTAGGCACAGGTCTTAGTGCTGGCAAGGAATGCCTTTGCACAGTTAAAGCTGGTGTGCCAGCAGCGCTCATTTCTTGAGATGTCTAATCTGGCCACTATGACACATGCCTTAGGTTACATCTCATCTGGATTACTGAAATGTGCACCAGATGAGGATGCCTTTGAAGAGTATTTGAAAACTTCATCTGGCACTGCTGACTGGCACTGGTTGCAGGTGGTATGTAACTCCCTTATTACCACAGCCTCACCAATTGTTAGTCTATTTCTCTGCTGGTCTATGACTGGTGCAATCAATCAATCAATTAATCAGTCAATGGCCCCATAACTAGGTAAAGATACAGATAATGGACCAAGTGAAAATGATTTGTTAGTAAAGAAATAGGACTAGTAGGCTGTGAATAATTTTAATAATCAGTTATGAGTCTACGAGGGAACAATGGCAGTGTTGACAGAAGTGGCAAACTCTGGAAATCAATATAGGACTCATACTTGTTAATGAGATAGGATTCCTGAAGTGGATTTGATTAACAAAAACTTGCATTAAAACATAGCAGTTAGTTTTTAAGGTGGCACAACATATTAGTCTCTTTTTGTTTTTGTTTTGTTTTGTTTGTTAGCAAAAAATAGGAAACAAGTAAATGAATTTGAAAATGTTTTTGAGGCTACAATCTTAGATCCACTTACTTGGATGTAAACTCACTGAATTTAGTAGAAGTTATTTTGAAGCAGACCTTTCTGGCCACTTCATGGATTGCTGCCTTGTCGTGGCGAAGGGGCTTGAGTAATTCAGAGAAGCTATGGGCTATGCCTTGCAGGGACACCCAAGACAGACTGGTCATAGTGAAGAGTTCTGACTAAACAAACGTGATCCACCTGGAGCAGGAACTGGCAAGCCACTCCAGTATCTTTGCCAAGAAAACTCCATGAACAGAAAAAAAAGGCTAAAAGATATGATGTTGGAAGATGAGCCCCTCAGATCGGAAGGCGTCCAACAACTATTGATGAAGAGCGGAGGACAAGGACAAGTACAGTGGACCCTCGACTTACAGACGGCTCGACTTACAGACTTTTCGAGTTACAGACTTCTCTGGCTGCAAAATTTAGATTCCAATACGGATTAATTCCTTAAGTAGAGGGTCCACTGTAGCTCCAGAGCTAATGAAGTGGTTTGGTCAAAGCCGAGAGGACGCTCAGCTGCGGACGTGTGTGGAAGTGAAAGGAAAGTCTGATGCTGCAAAGAAAAATACTGCATAGGAACCTGGAATGTAAGATCTATGAAACTTGGTAAGCTGGATGTAGTCAAACAGGAGATGGCAAGAATAAACAATGACATTCTGGGTGTCAGTGAACTAAAATGGATGGGAATGGGCAAATTCAATTCAGATGATTATCTTATCTACTTTTGTGGGCAAGAATCCCGTAAAAAAAATGGAGTAGCCCCCATAGTCAACAAAAGAGTGGGAAAAGCTGTACTGGGATACAATCTCAAAAATGATAGAATGATTTCAATATGAGTCCAAGGCAGACCTTTCAACATCACAGTAATCTATGTTTATGATCCAACCACCGATGCTGAAAAGGCTGAAATTGACAAATTCTATGAAGACCTACAACACCTTCTAGAACTGACACCAAAAAATATGTTCTTGTCATTATAAGGGACTGGAATGCTAAAGTAGGGAGTCAAAAGATAAAAGGAACAACAGGAAGGTTTGGCCTTAGAGTTCAAAATGAAGCAGGGCAAAGGCTAATAGAGTTTTGCCAAGAGAACAAGCTGATCACCACAAACACTCTTTCCCAAGAACACAAGAGGCGACTCTACACATGTACAAAACCAGATGGGCAATACCGAAATCAGATTGATTATGTTCTCTGCAGTCAAAGATGGAGAAGCTCTATACAGTCAGCAAAAAGAATACCTCAGCAAAAAGAAGGCCTGGAGTTGATTATGGCTCTGATCATCAGCTTCATATAGCAAAATTCAAGCTTAAACTGAAGAGAGTAGGAAACACCACTGGGCTAGTCAGGTAAAATCTAAAACAAATCCCTTATGATTACACAGTGGAAGTGAAGAACAGATTTAAGGAACTAGATTTGGTGGACAGAGTGCCTGAAGAACAATGGATGGAGGCTCATAATATTGTACAGGAGGCAGAAACAAAAACCATCCCAAAGAACAGGAAATGCAAGAAAGCTAAGTGGCTGTCCAAAGAGGCCTTACAAATAGCAGAGAAGAGAAGGGAAACAAAATGCAAGGGAGATAGGGAAAGTTACAGAAAA